CAACAGCTATCTGCATACACCATGGCTTAGGAAAACTTTACACATCCTGACTCTGAAGGCAAACCTTCACACAGCCTCTGCTAAGCTCAGGGTGATATGTTGTTCCATTTCCATTGCCCACTCTGAAACATGATGCAGTCCTGCTGCTTCACTCATCTGACAAAGAAAACGTCGATTGCAGCCTAAGGGACCAAGTATTAGATACCATAGGACCATATTGACTTACATAAACATCCGTGCTCCTCCCTTTTTCTTTTTTTCATTTATTTAACTTTATTATATTTTTATAATTCTCTTTTTTATTATTGTTATTATCTTTAGTTGTGCAAAAAAAGTTACCATTCCTTGTATGTTCAATTTTTGCCTATTAAGAAAAGTGACTATAGCAAGAAAGAATCCATCAAGAGACACCCAACTCTCCATTTCCGCAGATAGTGTAAAGATGCAATTAAATGCATTGGCCATTGCTGATGGCTTTTGTCTCAGCATTCCATCCCAGAGTGTTAATGTTATTGGGAGTTATTGTTTTCATTGTCCAAACAAAGGCTGAACTCTGCCATGTAGACCACAGCCAAATCTGAAATGTGTCCAGGGTCTGTATCAGAGAAGTAATGCTGGTTTTAATCTCTGTCAGAGTGGATTAAATTAATTCTCTGGCTATTATAGCCTGATCATTTTTTCCTAGACTGATTGACCTAAGGCATTTTGGCAGTAAATAGTGTTGTCAACTGATACTGCCATGCACGTGTTCCTCATCCCTGCTGAAGAACAAAACAGGCAAAATGAACCCCAAGATAAAGACTCAAATGATTTTTTCTTTCTTGCTATTGTTTCTAACATATTTATAAGATATTTCTTTGTTGCTTTGCATGTCCCTCCCCCACTGTATAACCCATGTTTTCACTGTATTTGATGTTGGTATAATTTGTGGAGGAGAAGGGGAAAAACAAATTGTTTAAATAGGGATACAGGTGGACCCATTGCAACAATGAGATGTACAAGACATTATGTCAAAAAATAAACTTTACAACTTTGGCATGGAGGGGGCGTACGGGGGTAATGAGGGGGATGGGAAGGGATCGGAAGGGAAAACAAAGGAGGAGGCAACAATGCTTGATAAGAAATATATTCATTACTTTGCTCATGTAATTGTTACCCCTCTGTATGGTATTTTCACAATAAAAAGAAAAAAAAGCAAAAAACAATTTCCTGAAACCAAAGATAATAAAGATAACAAAAGATAATAAAGTATATATAAAAAAAGGAAAGTGGCTTGATCCTGATTGCTCATGCCTGCAATCCTAGTTAGTCAGAAGGCTGAGACCTAAGGATCAAAGATTGAAAGCAGAAAAGTCTGAAAGAATTTTTCCAATTAGCCAGCAAAAATGAACAAAAAACCATGTAGAATGGAGTCATGGTTCAAGTGGTAAAACCTCTGAAGGAAAACCCAGAAAGACTGGGAGGACCTGAATTCAAGCCCCAGTACCTGCAAAAATAAATAAATAAAATAAATAACAAAGGAAAGCATAAGTGGTTAGAAATGTTATATCCTCCTCCCATTTCAAGATGAGATGGTTATATAGTAGTGATGAAAATCACCATGTACCAGCTGAAGAAGACAGTAACAGTATTAGATGTAAAGTCACCACTTATACAATACCTTAGAAAGTGACCAGCAGAAGAAATGCACAAGCCATCAAAACCCATTTCCTCTCAAATTGCAGATGGAAAGACCAAGTCCTCAGAAAGAGGCACCACTCAGTTGAGAAACATCAGTGACAGAAAATCAAGTTCCCAATCCACTGTTCCAATTACCCCGTGATGCTCTGCTCCCAGTAAACATCACAAAGTACAGTCTTACATTGATAATAATTAGAGTTTTAAGAATCAATAGCACAGACTTAGAGGACAGTGACATGTTTCTGTTTCTTGTGTGGCCATTGGACACTCTATCTCATATAGTTTGTATTTTATGATTAAAGGACTGAAATATTAAAGGAGTTAAGGTTAGAATCATTCATTCTACATGGAGAACACTCTGTGAACATGCCGTTAATAGCTCAACAAACCTATCTCCCTCCTAAACCAGCCTTATGGGTTCCACTCTTTGGCAGAGTTAAAAGCCTCCACCTAGTGATCAACGAGTATTTCACCCAACTGTCTCTTTAGGATTCCTCCTTCATTCTCCATACTAAACTCTCCTATGATTTATTTGCCTTGTACACTTCCTCTTTTCTTTTACCTTTAACTATATCACGTCTTGCACTGATAGCATGACGTTCATAGAAATGCTCATGTCCACTGGAAGAATCTGAAATAAAATGATTTCTCCACTCATCATTTTAATTCTCTAGAGTACAATATAGAATTCAGTCGTTTCTCCAGGAAATACCAACACCATATGCATATATGCATGTATATGCAATGAAGTTTCTCTATGTCATATACAAAAAAATGAAAGATTTTCTAAAAGAAAGCATATGTGCTCATGTAATCTTCCATATCCATTAGTTCTGCATCCCTGGATTGAACTGAATTCTGATTGAATATACCATGATGCCTAGTCTGAGGATGTTGCTTAGTGATAGAAAGATTATCCAGGATGGGCAATGCCCTGGGTTTGACCTCCAGAATTGCAAGAGAGACAGAGACAAAGACAGAGACAGGGACAAAGACAGAAAAGGGAAGAAAGGAAGAAAGGATGGAAGGAAGAAAGTGTAGGAGAGAGAAAGGGAGGGAGCGAGGAAGGGAAGAAGGAAGGAATTGTACCCATGTAAACAAATATTTTATTCCCTAAATTATACACAGCAACAACTATTTATATAGAATTTTCTTGCAATAGGTTTCATAAATAATATAGAGATGTTTTAAACTATGCAGGAAGATGTGTGTAGGTGCTCTGCAAATACTACAGCATTTATATAAAAGACTTCATCATCTGCTGACTTGATATCTGTAGAAGGTCCTCTACCCATGCTAATATGGAGGCACAACTGTGTATATACAATGATCTATAGAGAGAGAAATATTTTTTAAAGAACTCATGAGTCTTACAAATCTTCATTGCTCATTTTCTTACAAATATATTTTCCATTTATTTATTTATTATCTTCAAGTGGCTGTACAAAGGAGTTGTCATTTAACAAAGCAGTTTATAAACACAATATATCTTGATCAATGTCACCCCTTTCAACCTTCTATTGCACCCTTATCCTACCCCCGCAGTGGATTCATGTCTGAATATTTTTCCTCTTCTCTTCTTCATCCATCTACCCCTTTCTCTTAGCCCCATCCCTACCCCTAAATCTGCTGAGTTGAAAGGATTGGGAGTTTCAAACCAGTCCTAGCTACATACGGAGACCTAGTTTCATACAACAAAAAGACAAAATAAAATTCCCTCAATCATTCTTGTCTTGCAAAAAACAATATATCTTCAATTGAAGCATTTTGCAACTTAGCACATTTTATAGGCCAGGCTGATTAGTATGATGCCTTTGGATGTGTATTATACTTGCTAGAGGCCCAAGAATCAGCTTAATTTCTACAAATGATTGGAAAGCTTCCACAGAGACCAGAGGATCTGGCCTCTGCCCTTGTTTGTATATATTATATAGTAGAATATAGTGCAGAGCCACAGGAACCAGACTGCAAGCATAAAATAAGGACAACATTTTGGTCCAGAAGAGCACTGGACACATTGTAAGTCAGCTGAAATTCTTGAGGTAGGATCTGTTGCACTCAGAATGGAGAGACCTGTTATTCCTAAGCAAAAGGTCTGAATAAGTCCCTTCACGGGCAAGGCCTGAGACCATGTATAAACTTGATAGACTAGGCAAGTGACTTAGGTCTGGTCCAAGGAAACTCTGTACCTCCTTGGCTTCTTTCTAATTGGCACATTTGCTTCTCAATGAATTGATAGAGTCTTGGTTTGAGGTAGTACAAGAGACGTGCCATCTTGACTACATGACTTGTCCATTTGTCATTGGTCTTACAGGAATGTCCCTCCATGGCTTTTCATTCTTTGACCATATTCAGTTTTGCTCTCACTGGAATACACTTTGCTTGAGCACCACAGGTCTTGTTTATGACCAAAGAAAACATGGGTATACCTGGTCTAGACACGAGGCATGCAGTGAAGATAAGCCTACTTTATTTGATTTGTCTTCCTGAGGCTCTAGCCAATGAGGAGAATGGATCAGTGCTTATGGTTTTGTATTTGTGGTCATATTTGTTAATGGAATATGAATCACTTCCTGGGGATTTGGGAAAGGGTCAGAGAGAAAAAGAAGAGGAAAAAGGAATTCTCCTTCAGGATTAATCACCAGGTGGTGGTTTGTTTTGAGGATTCTGTATTTTCTTTACTGCTGTGGAAAGACAGCACTGACAGCTAAAAGAGACACAATCACAGTCTACGAAAGTCTTAAGGATAATCATTCCTCCTTTCTTAGCAGTTTTGGAAGGATGCCCCACAATACCTAAACTACACACATAGAGGATGTAAAGTTGGCTACAATAATACCTTCTTCCTCTTCCTGCTCCCCACCTGCTTCTTACTCTTCTGGACCCTTTCTTCCCTTATGCTTGTATTACCTGTGCTCAACTCTGTTTGTGATGGATTCTATCTCCATAGATAAAGAATAATGTCAACACTTATGAAAGACCTTCAAGGGGTGCCTTACCATGGAGTCTTGCATATTGGTCTAACTTTGGCAGCAGTGGAAATAAATGACTGCCCTCAGAGAGTCCCATTCATTTTTTTTTTAAACCAGCCTTACAGAGCAGGTCATAGTGGTTTAGACAACACAAACACTTATCCTTAGGGTTTCCAAATCCTCCCAAAAGATGTTTTCTAGTTCTCTGACAAGGCAGGGTCAGGGGGAGGGGTGAAACTTGGAGGAATGCTCACAGAGAAGCATGTCTATGCACTTGCTTGTTGGGGGAATAAGGATGGTGTTCTTGGGTTACATGCTAATAGACCTGTTTTCTTTCCCCCCTCACAGGGCCTGGAGCAGTCATTGATGGTGTAAACTCGGCCTCTAGAGCACTGGCTTGTCTCTGGCTCTCAGGGACCCTCTTTGCCCACTTCTTCATCAAGTTTTGATAAGAAATCCTAGGTCCTCTGAGCAACGCCTGCTTCTCCATATCACAGACTTTAATCTACACTGCAGAGGGGAAACTAGTTTGGGATTCTTTTCGTTGTTCATTTTTTCACCTCCTTGATTTTTCTTTTTAAGTTTATGATTTGACTATTTTCCAGTTGGAATGAGGGGTTTGGGGGGAGGGGTGGGAAGGGTTTTACGATGTGTAGGATAATCAGTCATTGGTGTCTTTAGAAATGGAATCTGCTCCTGATATCTTGGCCACCAACTTTATTTTAACTGTACTTCTCTTCCTTCCATTACCAACAAATTTTGCACACACACACACACACACACACACACACACACACACACACATAACCACAAGTTCAAAGTGGGCAGAAACTTTCTTTACGGTAAATGCCCTTAAGACCCAACTTGACTCACAATGTAGTACAAAGCAAAAGTTGCATTCACTCAATTATCTTCATCTTTAAAGCTTACAATCTTTATCCTGATTATAATGTACATATCCTTTCCTCCATGTTTATTATTATCTAGTTCTTTTTTTTACCTATTTTACCTATCTATTAGGGTTCACATTTTCATTTTCTAATCTATTATCTCATTATACTCATGTAAGCATATATATGCACCTATATACTCATATATATATGCATATATACATATATATGAGTATATAGGTGCATATGCACATATCTAGTTGAGTACATGGCATACCCATATATATATACACATACATATGTTCATATATATGCGAAAGTATGTAAAATCCTGCCATCTTCTCTCATTACTCTGCCCTACTCATTTCTCCTACAAGCTCTAAGAACCACAGCCTTGGAATGATGCACTCACTCCACCACTAAAATTCTAGAACTGAAGTAATCAAAACATGGCCAAACATATTAAAGATAGTACTTCTAAACATGCTATGAAACTCATAACAATTATCAATAGATGACTGGTTATTTTGGTTTCATCAAGGCATCTATCAAAATATCCACAAGATACTCATCTCTTCAGCCAATTATCTGCCATCCTTTCTCCCTAGAAATCTATTTACTCTATTTATCATTCTATCAGTGTAATTATCTAGCAGTCCTTTCTATTTCTCCCTCCACTGCTTACTACCAATTCATGACCATATATCCCTAATCATGTGTGTCTATTCCACTTTATTAATTTCTCTTCTATCATGGGCAGACATTGGTATCTTCAAAATTTCCTATAAGCTTCTGATATGAAAGTCAATGAGCTCACAGGTAAACTACATAGAAAAGCGCTATCCTTTGCCATGGGCTTGATGGAATTTAGAAACCCATCCGCCCTTATTAGATTCTTCTAACAGATAAACCAAAATAGCTAGTTCAAGATCAGTCACTCACTAGTCTCAGAAGACACTATTTCATAAGCCACCTTCTTGGGAAAGAGATTGGCCCAGAGAAGCATTGATTAGAACCAAATTTCTTCTTTCACAGCTGATGGATTAAAGTACCAACCTTCACACTTCTTTCAGCCTTTCAAGAAAGTGCATGTTGGGAACATATAAGACCTTCTTCATGGCCGGCAAGAACCCGCAAGAAAACACACAGCTCTCTGCAATGTAATGACAGCAGTCCACTTGCCAAAGTGTGATAACTATAGCCAAGTGTCTCCTTTCCGGCTTGAACTGTTTGAAAACTATCCAGTGAAAAGCTGATGGAGGCCAATTACATGGCGGGTGTGTTGACAACTCTGGTATTTGTTTCCAGAAGCTCTTCTGAGCTGAGGGTACTTGAGCAACTGACTTAATTTCCAAACACTTGATTAATGCAACATTGCAAACAGAAGGGGGAAAAGTGTAAGAGACACAATTTCCTCTGACACAGGCTGCTTCTCTAGTAGCTTAGCAGAAGAATATCCCCACTTTTCTATGTTCAAAGCAGATCTAGTGTACAAGGAAGAGCACATCTGATCTTTCCCCCATTGTCTCCTAGGACAAAAAGGATTCAACAAACAAGGGAGTCTATAATACAAAAGAAGAGTGGTAAAATCTGTACAGATATGTGCCCAGATTAGCCTAATGTGGAGTGAGAAGAAGGATCAACAAAGACTTCCTTACAGATTTACCTGCCTCTGTAGGAAATCATTTTCAGGATTACATTCTAAAATACTAATATATATATATGAGCTCCATAGAGTTCCATTTTCTTAATGCTTAGTTGATCTCTCTTCCTCCCATATAAGTGCTCTTTTTGTGTATGTTAACACATGAGCACTAGAGTGGGGAAATATATATATATATGCAATTGTAGGCTGTGTTGGCTTACAAAAGTTAGGTACTGCGGTAAGAGAACACCTGAGGTGAGCAAAATGAATATTGCCCCCACTAGCTATAAACAGACATGTGCATTTCCTAATAAGCTGCCCAGAACCAGCTTCAGGGATCATACATGATATGCCAAAAGCAGTCCATTGATTTCAAGTTTCAGAGACTGTCATAAGCAGGCACAAAGTCAGAATTAAAGGTCAGACATCACATCGTTCAGTTCTGTTACTGCACTCAGCACTTGGAATTGGATTAGGGTTAGACATTGCGTGAGAAGTAAGCGTACCATTTCAGTCTCCTGCTAATACTGGATTAAAATAAATATGGAAGCTGTGGAGAGGAGAGTGGCTGGTTTTGGATAACATGGTGCTTGAAATGGATGAGCTATGCCTGTTCCTCACTTCAAGACTTGTAATAAATGAGGTGTCTACCCTTCTCTGGGTAAGCAGATGATCAGAAATTTCTTAACGTAATGAGGCTGGACTTAGCGTCACTATGGCACTCTGCTCTGCTCCCTTCTACTGGACACTACTGGTCATGTTTCAGAGGGTAAAACATGTTATAGTCAATCCTTTTGGACAAAGAAAATCAAGTATATAAAACCCAAGACAACCAGGACATGGAAATGAATATGCCTTTGTCACACCATACTCTAGCTTCTATGTTATTTGAGTTACTTTGGTGAGGAATAGCTTTTGCAATGGTAGCTTTTACCCAACATCTTAAAGCATATATACAGTAAATGTTTACTAAAAATAACATCCATACTTATGTAAATGCTTTTCCAACTTTACACATGGATAGAGAAGACCTACTGGAAAGATTTGTTCAGGATGGCAATGGTAAGGGTGGGAAAGGTTAAGAGAAGGAGAAGGAAAGAAAGAAAGAAAGAAAGAAAGAAAGAAAGAAAGAAAGAAAGAAAGAAAGAAAGAAAGAAAGAAAGAAAGAAGTCTTCAAGCAACCAATAGTTCATTGTGGAGTTTCCATGAAGAAAGAAAACCAAATAAGGTTTATAAGGGTTTAGGTAATAGGAATTCAGCAAAGGATGTTATTCTTAAACTCTTCCCTTTCCCAATATAAGTTAATATGTACTTCCACCAAAGTAATGCCAATGGAAGTGCTAGTGGTAGGGCCCTGGCCAAGCTTGGTTTTTAGTCATTTAATGTCAAGTGCCTGATATAGTCATCTGCAAGACTAAACAAGCATGTTTAGCTTTTCTCATTCTTATTTTGCTTAGGGAGTTTGGAGCCGTAGGGGAGTGGGCGTCCAAATGCGCACTCACATATTTTAGGTAGAGAGCTCAATTCAGGATTTCTGTTGTGGGTTGCAGTTATGCTCAATGGAATGGAAGAAAAGGGGAAGTTTGTGTCATAAGGAGAACTGGACCTCTTTCCTGTGAAGTCCACCCCTTTGCTTACAGGATGCTGTTCATAAGTTGGGCAATCAATTCTCCAAGCGTGATGGGAAGGATGTACTGTCTCTAGAGCTGCAGTTGGGTTTGTCATCTGTTTTCTGCTTCAACCAAGTCCTCCTGCCTTCCACAAAGAGGGATTAGAAAGTTTTACTTATATTAGAAAAACTACCAAAGGAGCAGGGAGTGCCAAAGTGGCTAGATAGTTGATCCCAAAGAGAGCCAGTGCACCAGAAATGGCTGGAAATTGAGCATTCATGTTTTGGTTGAAACTTCTAATGCAAAGAGGACCTTGCTCTATATATCTATAGATAGATGGCTGTCCTTAGTTATATCATGGAAGGAGAGATGGAATGGCTTGAGATGGTTTCCCAAATGTGACACTGAGTTCTCCTCAGAGAGAGTAAAACTAGCTTTGTGATATCTAGAACCAGTCACCACCCCCCCACAGTCCTCCCACTACCCAGAAAAAAATATTAAGCACCTTTAAATTAGGGACACAGCATAACTCTTTTTTCTCTTTTACTTTCTTTTCATTTTTTTTTTGCAAAATGCATTTTTTTTGTTTTCTCCAATAACGAACATTGTTGGTTTTGATTTTTATACAAGCCCGGTTCTTGAAAACTCTCATATTTAATTCCTTTCCTTCCTATTATCAAAAGCTTCCCTGTCATCTATTTCTTAACAAGAAAAGTTTGAGCCATTGCAGTAAAATTTCACAGGTGTGAAACTAGGAAGGCAACATTAGAAAAAAAAATGATGAGAACTCCTAGTGATCACAGAAAGCAAACAAATAAAAATGCCAGTCTCATTTCCCTCATTTCTTACTTAAGAGAAGAGAAGTAAATGAAAGGAAAAAGAAATAGATTTGCAATTAAAAGATGTGGCAAAAAAAGATAGAGCAGAACTAGAGCAATTTAGTGTTCAGGTGCAGAACAGTTGGAGCCCAAAGGATGTGGAGTGGACTTAATTAGAGTCAATTGTCCTCCTGGAGAAAGTAGCCAGCTAAGTCTGATTTCCAGCATTATGGAAGAGATTCCTTTCTGTTTCTTTCAATGGTGCCCTTTAAGGCACACAGTTTATTCCACACCACTGAGAGGAGAAGTAACGATTACAAACCCTCCACTGTCCCGGTGGGTCTACATCCTACATTATTTGGCAGGTTAATAAGGATATTGATAATAACAATGCTAAGTAATAATAGCTTCCCTTGTGTTAGTGGAAGGGAGCATTTTTAATCATTCAGAAATTTTGTGACATGTTAAGTGCAATTGTGAGGAATGTGTGGGTGTACGAAAACGTATCTGTCAAGTTCAGAGTCCTCTAGATT